CCCCCCCCCCCTCCGCCCCGCGTCCAGCCGCGCTGCGTACACGGCGAAACGTGATGCTCGACCAACTCGAGATGTCGAGAGCGCGCGGAGATCGAGTCCTTTATGGGAACACCTTGCCGAACGTCTTACTCCACCGGATGGCAGGAGAGCTCAGCGTTGCACAACCATTTCCGAGTCAGAATTTGGCACGTCCAAAGCAAGTGGGCTATTCGAAAGTTGTTATTAAGTTCTCGCTCGAAAATACGTACGACACCTTCAAGAAATTGTCATAATTTACATCCACGTTCAATTTTTCAAAGTTATGGTTTAATGCTCAATACTTTACATTACATTTGCTGAAACTCTATGTACTTTCAGAATATTATTTAATGTTATTGGATTTACTCGAAATATTTGTTTAGTGATTACGTGCACACGAGAGTGATTCAATAAGTATATCTCATTGAGTCACTATTTCCCGCATATCTTGCGTCTCCAAGACTAACTCTGGCGTCGTGTTTCTCTCTAAAAATGTCTTAATGAAGTGAGACGTATTTGTAGAGAAACTCGGCTTTGCATCCAACCGGATTCGCAAGATTCCAAACCAGTGCACTTCCTGAACGCACTCAGAGAAATTACAGAGCCAACCTATTCCCATCTGCTGGATTTGGCACGAAATATCTAAAACGCGATACCTGTTTGATCATCCGAGGCAACATATTATCGAAATGAAGTAACATTTCCTTAGGGGAGTGTAGACTTGCGAATGCCAGCATCACAACCGTAATAGCAACACATTATCCTCTGCACATCTAATCTTAAACGTAATATGTTTCTAGTTTTCAGTTCCGATTAAAAACCGGCATTTTATACATATGCCGTCCATTCACATGTACACGTACTGGTGGACATATAAAAGACAGTCTTATATCTCGAACTTAACCCTTCTAATTGGAATTTATTATATATTAATGAATAATGCAATTGTTCAATTATTAGTTTTACTTAATAGTTCGCAAAGCCGTATTGTAATCCAGTTTAACACTTTATAAATAATTACGTCTTTTTAGATCTTTCGAAACTAGGGAATAACAACAAAACGCTTGTTGAAGTTCTAGTTTACCTGTACTCATCGGCTCATCAGTTAACGCGTCGATGGGATATATACTATTCAACTGTTGCCATTTTATGATCTCTGATCACGTGGAATCATAACGAGCGGAACTAAGTGACCTGGGTCGTTAACAACAGGGATGGTTCATCTGTTCGCATCTGTAGTTGAATAGGCGACTCAGTTCACTTGCCAACGGCAGTCTGTTCGATCGTGAGGATCCATAACGAGCAGGAATTAGCTCATCTGTGCACATCTGCGGATGGAGACGCCCACTCTGATCTCTCGCCAGTAGCAGCCTCCCTGATCGCACGAAACAAAAAAACAAAACAAAAAAAAGAAACAATATCGAGCGGCACAATGAATCTAAGAGTGTGTAATTTGGGCGCTGGCTCATCTGTGCACATCTGCAGATGGGCTGGGCCCCTCTGTTCCGTGCGGCCTGACTGACGGCGCGTTCTGTCTGGTGCAGTTGCAGGTGGCGCTGCTAGCGCTGGCGCTGGCGGCGGCCGCGGCCTCCGAGGCGGAGAAGAAGGAGGCGGCGGCGGCGCCGGCCAAGGAGGAGGCCAGCGCGGAGGAGACGGCCAAAACCAAGCGCGGGCTCTTCGACCTGGGCCTGGGCTACGGCACCGGGCTGGGCCTGGGGCTGGGCGCCGGCGCGGGCCACGGCGGCCTCTCGCTCATCAGCGGCCTCGCCTCCTACGGAGGCTACTCCGCCGCGCCCATCTCCTACGGCGGCTACGGCGCCTACGGCGGCTACGGCCACGGCGCGCCGCTGCTGCTCTCCGCCGCGCCGGCCGTCAAGACGGTCACCCTCACGCAGAAGGTGGGCATCCCCATCCCCAAGCCCTACCCCGTGCACGTGCCCTACGCCGTCGAGCGACCCTACCCCGTCGCCGTGCCCAAGCCCGTCGCCGTGCCCGTCCACGTGCCCGTCGACCGTCCCTACCCTGTGCCCGTCGAGAAGCCCGTCCCGTACCCTGTAGAGAAGCCCGTGCCCTACCCCGTCAAGGTCCCCGTCGACAGGCCCTACCCCGTGCACGTGCCCGTTGAGAAGCGGGTGCCCTACCCTGTGGAAGTGAAGGTCCCTGTTCCCCAGCCCTACGCCGTCCACGTGCCCAAGCCCTACCCCGTCTACGTGGAGAAGAAGGTGGCCGTGCCTCAGCCCTACCCCGTGCACGTGAAGGTGCCCGTCCCGCAGCCCTATGAAGTGCAGGTCAAGGTCCCCGTCGCCGTGCCCGTCGACCGCCCCTACCCCGTCCACGTCAAGGTACCCGTCGACAGACCGTACCCTGTCCACGTGCCCCAGCCCTACCCCGTGGCCGTCGAGAAGCCCGTACCCTACCCCGTGGAGAAACCCGTGCCCTACCCCGTGAAGGTGCCCGTGGACAGGCCGGTGGCCGTGCCCGTGCCCAAGCCCTACCCAGTGACCGTGGAGAGGCCCGTGCCCTACCCCGTAGAGCGCCCGGTGCCGTACCCAGTGGAGAGGCCCGTGCCCGTCGCCGTGCACGTGCCCGTCGACAGGCCCGTCGCCGTGCCCGTGCCCAAGCCCTACCCGGTGGCGGTGGAGCGCCCGTACCCAGTGGCCGTGGACAGGCCCGTGCCCGTGCCCGTGAAGGTGCCCGTGGAGAGGCCGTACCCCGTGCATGTTGAGCGCCCGGTGCCCGTGCCCGTCAAGGTGCCCGTCGCCGTGCCCGTCAAGTCGCAGCCCGTGCTGCTGGCGTCCGGCCAGGGCGGCTACGGCGGCTACGGCGGCTACAGCAGCTACGGCGGCTACGGCCTCCACGGCTGAGACCTCCCCGGCCACTTCCCCTCATCGCACCCGCACCGCCACCTCAGCACTCGCCATCACCAACGCCATTCGCTCATCCCATTAGATCATAAGTTATTGCCTCATTTTTGTAATTTTTGTCCCCTTTTTTGTATTTAACCGCGTGTTCATCATCGTTCTGTTTTTTGTACTCGAGCATAGCAATAAATTGTAAAAGCTCACACACTGTTTTATTCTTTATGCCATGAAATTACAACCTTCTAATCCTATTTCCTTGGACTGTGCATAATCTCGAAAGCTACCTGAAGAAACATCTAGTCACATGAAGCATTTCAGTTACTTAATGTTGTGGGATACAATTTTACTACACTCGTAATTTTTTCTTAACCTAATAATGAATGACGTCTTATGGGAACATTTCTCTTCCTTTGAAAGTTTTATATACTCATAGAATTATTTGTTGCTCTAAACATCGACAATACGCGCGTAAAGTTTAAAAAATTCTCATGCAATTTAGCGGTCTACCAGATGATCAGTATTAACAATCCTCCTTGAAAAACCTTCTAAAACTCTCGCTTTCAGCCGTCCAACTCGTCTTCGTCGCAATTAACCTACTTAATGGCCATTCACAATGAACAAGATTCCATTGGAGGGGTTCAATGTCTTTGCCACTACTGGCTTCTTTCCCGTCTTCATCGGAGCGTGCTGGAGAGCAAAAAGACGGCGTCGGCGGCGGAGTCTCTCAGTGCACAACGGCGGTCGCGGGAGTCGGAGCGAGACGCGCCCGTCGGGGCCAATGGCGAGCGCCGACAAAGCCCCGGCGGCCTCCGCTGGCGTCCGCGCGGTCACCGGCGGCCGGACCGCGAAAAGAAAACCGCGTGGCCCGTCACGGCCGATTACTCTCTCTTTTTCGTGTTTTGCACGTCCGATATCCCTTTCTACGGCAGCGGCAGGGGAACATGAAAAAGCGAGGAAGCCACCGGACGACCTGAGGACACGTGTGCGCTTTCGTAATCGCTGCAGAGGTCGTCTTCGTGAGGTTGCTGTTGGTGGGTCCTCAACACTAACGTAATACGAGCTATCCCTGCATCCCCCAACGCGTTTGACAGTACTACGTTAGATTTTCTCCAAGCAGACAAATAATTAACAAACAGAAATATAGGAATAGACTATGAAAAATCTACATCACCCTCGGCAAACACAAAATTGGGACGTCATGTCTCACGCATCTTGTTCTAAGTACTATAAATCCACAAGCGGTCCAAAAACGTTTGTTATGTTATGTCGTTCTGCACTTCAATGTAAAATTCATGCAGTATTTACAATGAAATTATGTTGTTTTTAAAGTAATACATTGAAATTTCATATTTCGTAATAATTTTAAAAATTCAATGAAAATAGTAGATTTTTCTTTTCGATTTCTTTTGGTTTTCTGATTATAGAAACTACACCAATACCCGAAAATTATAGATATACTCGAATAATCAAACTGTAATTAAGACGAAATGCAGAAATAAGAACCATCATGAGAAGAAGTTATATTTTCAAAAACATAAATTGACTAACGCATTCATGCGCAACACCATGTGTGACAATTTCACATGAAAATATTCAAAGACACGCAAACAGCTTTCTCAAGTCAGGGTAAACGCAGGTTACAGTAATCGCCGACATAATGACTACAAAAAGCAACCCTCCTCTTGACATGTGCTGCTGTCGAAATTCGAATTCAACAGTTACGGGGAGAACTTCACAGAACCACTCATTCCTCCGAAATGTATACAAATACAATTACCGTCACGTCTCAAGAACAATCGGTTTTTGGTAAAGTGAATAAATATGTTTAGAAAATAGTACATCTGTACTAGCAAAATTTGCATAAAGTAGTTCACAAGACAGCCGTTAGGAGAGTAAAACATTTAGTATATTCCTGCCAAATAATATGTTCCGCTCAAGATCAAATTATTCACCTGGAATTTTACCACATTGTTAAAAGTGTAAAAGGTTGCTTTTTCGCAGACCTTTTCCACTCGATCCAAGTCAACTGCAGCAGCTCTTTACCTCTCTAACTAAACGCCTTCGGCCCCCAAACGGCCGAGTAGGCAACGCGTCGCGAAGGCACGGCGCGGTTTTACGGTCTAGGGAAGAAGAAGAAGAAAAAAAAAAGAATTGCGTCCCGTCCGGCGGCGGACGCAGGCACAGGTCAGGAGGCAGCACGTAAACAAACAAATCAACGCCGCCGGACGCGCAGACATTCACCGCCACTTTCGCTGCGGCCCGCGGGGCAAAAAGCGAAGAGCGGCTGACGCAACCGCGCCGCGCCGCACCGCGCCGCGCTGACACGCTCTACTTGCGCGCCCCCTCCACAAGCGATACAAGCGCACGGGAGTTTATGTCACTCGCGTCGGGCACGTAGGCATTTCGCTGACCACTCAGTTGCGAGATCGGGGCGGGATGGGCGCGGGACATTACCAGCATTTGCCCTAGTTTTAGCGGTGGAGTGGAGTGCAGAATTCTGTTTGCTACAACCAGCACGTTAAACGCTGATGATGATGATGATGATGATGATGATGATGATAATAATAATAATAATAATAATAATAATAACTGAAAAGTAAGGAAATAGAGCGATGTAGCATACCAAATTAAAGAAAAATGGAAGTTAGACCAAGTATTTTTTTGTTTCGTTAGCTCCAATACAATTGTCATACAAAAGCACAAGAGAGGAAAACGTCAGAAAATCAATATCCCTCCACGACATTAGATGTTGATGTAGAAGTTAGTTTTTCTGAATACGTGCAGCATTGCCCGAAACGTGATACAATTCGATAATAAATAGTAAATAACACACTGGGCGAAAATCCTTTCGTTATTAGAGAATCAAGTCTTCCTGTGAACCAGAAATGTGACAATTCAAAAAAAGTAATAAAAGTGTTTAATCATTGGGAGTTTTAGGCAACTAAGGACTTTCTTTAATCGTTTTCTCCGCCATTGTTAAACGTATCTTAATCAAAAAGTTCTGGAACTCCGAGATGCTGTCAATTAATCCGACAGTAGAGGGATATCGATAGCTCATCGTCACTATGTTCCGCGGTGAAATGTAATGGAAGGAATCGAAAATATTTATCACTCCAATGGCTGGTCATTCCTTCAGAAATTTAGATGGTTTAGCGGTTGTGTCATTCTCGTCAAGCACGTACTCGCCGTCAACAATGTTGCGTGGCCGAGTTCAGATGGTTGCTGGTCGGCCCGAGTATTCATTATCGTTTTCGTGGTGAAAATATGTCGTGAACATTTTTTTCGTTGCAATGATTGCGTTTGTCCGTTAATAGATTTGTTTCATCACGGAGTTTTCGCTTTTGGGGTCACTTATAACGTACGAGTAAAAGTAGCGCGCTCGGTTCCACGGTCGTGGATTCGAGTCCCGCGCAAGCCGGCTTGTTTACTTTTATGGTGGAATATGGTGAGCTTTCCCACCCATCAAGCATCATCCCCTTATTATACCCCTTCGTTTCCTCCCAGTTCGGTTAGTGTAGAAGCAAACGTTTGAAGCAGGTGCGCGCTGCACTAGAAGCTGCCATTCCCGAAGGCCTTTTATCTCCTTCGGTATAAGTGGGGATGGTTGCTTTACCAGGGGCACACAGTTCGGGCTTATAAGCCGCCACAGTGAGTGCGGTCCGATTTCCGACTTTTTACTGGTAGTTATCACGATGAGCTCGGGTGATCGCTAGGCAGACATTTTTAACGAACAGCGAATATATTCTGAAAAAATATAAAGTTCATTTGCAACCAGTACATTCGATAAAAGTATATTCGTAACAAGTATATACGGTTATAAGAACAGTCGGTTAATAGGATCCCGCGCCTAGGATGCAAAAAGCATGAAGCATGCATCGGTTTGAAGAATGGGAATCACGCATTAGACTTGTCAAGCGCCCTTGGGAAACGCCTACACCTCGGGGTAAGGAGTGGTTTATTAATTGCAAGGAGCGAGAATGACATAAAAGTGGTTAAAATATTGGAAAACTTCATTGGAAGTTTAGAATTGCGTTGAGGTGTTTCGGCGCTCAAACCTTTGCTTCTGGACACGACGCAGGACTCCGGGATTTTATGACATTCGTATCGACCAGTACACGACATCACCGAGTTGCGTGTCCGCAGCAGGACCGTTGGTGAACGGTCCAGGCGTTCGTCGAGGCGAAATGGCGCAGAACAATTGTGTTCGTTCCACGGAGCGTTTTAAGCGTTTTGTTACTTAACCAAGGAATTGTGGAACTCATAGTTACTGAAAATCGTTTCTAACATTTACATCGACGGAAATGCGTCACTGTCAGTGGATCATAAGCCGTAAAGTTTCGCGGCGCAATATGATGTAAGAATGAAGAAAATATTTCTTACATTAATGGTTGCTCCGTCCAGCATAAACTTAGTAGGTGTAGTCGTTGGGTCAATCGGGCAGAGCATGAACTATTCACTGATCGTGTTGTGTTATCGAGGTGGGATGGTTGTTGAACGCTCTGAGCATTCGTCATCGTTTTTTTTAGGAGAAACAGAGTAGAAGAAGTTAGTTCTTTGAAACGGAATGTATTAATACATAGTAGATAGTACAGACAGATGAGCATTAAGTGAATTAGTTTTCACCAAGAGAATTTATACTTACATGCACTGCCAGACATACAGGGAGACAAGTCAGGAGCTTAGAGCTTATCCTGTCTGGGGTGGTGTCCTGATAGAAAAGATACTTGGAGAGAGCAACCTCGCAAGTCAACGTAAAGGTCCTCACCGGATCTCAAGTCACAGAGGAAATATCTCAAATATCCTCTTAAAGAAAAGATGCGTCTAAAAATCTGAAATACACACAACCTAACTCACTGGGAGAATGGAAAGAAATTTGAAAATTTGTCTCTGTAATGAATTCTACGATTCTGTCGGAAATTGAGAGTTAGGACAATTGTGTCATTGTAGGAAAGCACGCTCGAAGTTTCACGTGGCAGAGACTGCTGGATGCTCCGAACATTCCT